CTTCTTGGGCTAACTTAGATTTGAAGGTTTTCAGGTGGTCAGCGTTTATTTTTCTATGGGTGTAAGCCGAAATATTTGATTCCTTACGGTGCTCTTCCATTATTGGCGCTGTAGTTAGTTCTAAGAGTTGCGCTGTATGGTCTGACATGTGAGGTTCAAAGACTGTACATTTTAAATGGTTTACGTTAATGTTGGTAATAATATAGTCTATTGCTGTTTCCGTTATTTTGTTGTGTTTATTGATAGCTGTACGAGTAGCTCCATGACAATGGTTAAACAAGTTAAAAGATGCTAACAGATCATGAAGCAGGTAATGGTTCATGTTTGGTTTCAAGTTGTCAATGTTTAGGTCTCCACATAGTATTATTCTATTATTATCGGTTAGAACTCTATCCAGGATATTTGTTAAGTTACCCAGAAATGTTGATACTTCGCCAGATGGTGATCTATACAAACATATTACCGTGATTTTTTCCTCTAAACTATTTATTTGCAGAGTTATTCCGCAGACCTCTATGTGTTTCTCTTCTGATTGGTGGTTGATAAATGGTATACTTTTAGCAGCCAGCTCACATTTAACATATATGCGCACCCTCCATGTATATACTGGGATCGACAGAAGAACGATACGAGCCGGTAGCCTTCTAAGTTGAATATCGGAATGGCATCTGAAGGTAACCACGTTTCTGTGACACATAATACGTCTGGCGACCACTCATTGACGAGAAGTTCAATTTCGTTAAATTTGTTCAGGAGACTGCAAACATTCTTTTCTTTTAAGAAATTAATGAAAAATCAGTTGCTGGAGACAAGTTAGTTCTCTGTGTTTATATATGTATATGATTGTCTTTTCCTGATTGTTTTGTGTATCTGTCGTTCATTTAATGAAACTATATTTTTTTTTCTCTTACCTTCAGTGTTGTTCTTAATTACTTTTTTTTTTGTAACATGTGTATGTATTTTTCATTCTTTTTTCTCTGCTTTGGGGTTAAGTGGAGGAGTAGCCGTCTGGCTAAACTTCGCCTCACTGCAGATAATAAAGGCATTATTATTATTATTATTATTATTATTATTATTTATATGTATTACTTTGATGTTTGTTTTTGTGAGGCTCGCATTTGAAAAATTGCACGTTTTTTTGGAGATTGGGTCTTTGTTTGCGACGCTATTGGAGTAACGGTGGAAGATGTAGCAGTTGTGTTGTTTAAGATTTTAGTGCTGTCAGTGGTGGTGTTATGTGTAGGAGGTATTGCTTGGTGTTCACTAGATGTCATTTTATCCTGTGTATTGCCTGTGGCATTTGGACTATTCCTTGATGAAACGTTTTCATTCAGTGCCAGCTTCTGTATTCTATCCGTGTTTCTTACCTGTGGAGGTAGTTGTTGTAAGATGCTACTACTGTGAGAGATGATATCCATGATTTAGCAGAGTCTATGCTTTCCTTCATTATTTAGGAGATTAGAATTACTCCTAAAGTGATATCCTCGTAGGCTGCTTGAGATGTTTAGGAAGTGTGCATTCGACTCTTGGCAAATTGAGTGAAGCTGCTTGTTTATGTCATGAATAATCTTGTTCAAGACAGGTCGTTGGGACTTCCAGGAAGGAACACTTGTAATTATGATATTTGTTCCTTTGACGCTCTTCAATTTACTTCCCATATCGTTTGTACTTATGGAACCTTTTTGAAGAGCGTCATTGAATCCGCCTATGACAATGACAAAGTCACTTTGGCTGAAGTCGGCGGTAAGTAGATCAATATTCTTCACCACATTATTTATTAGTGCATTATGATAGAGAATCATCTCGATGCTAAATATTCGTGCGGGTAGGATTTTCCTCAATACATGTGTAAGTATTCTTTTTTCCTGTTGTGGGGTTGAGTGTAAGAGTAGCCGTCTGGCTAAACTTCGCCTCACTGCAGTTAATAAAGGCATTATTATTATTATTATTATTATATACGAGGTTTCGTCCAAAATCATCACTCGGAATTAATACTCTAGATTTGACTTGTTTGCTTAATTTTGGTTGTTGATACTTAGCAGGCTGGTCATGAGTGGACTTAGGAACTCTCAAGTGGTTGTTTGGAATATTAATTACTCCTTTTTCTGTTTGTGTCTCCTTTACACTCGTCTTAAGTTCCTTTATTGTCTGAGTAGAATTTTCAACTGTATTTTTTTTTAGCTAGCTTTTCTACTATTTCCTTCATGTGATCAATAGTGTTCTCTTTGTTTACAAGTTCGTCGATTAATCTATCATTTTTCTTCTTGAGATCGGCTATCGTAACTGTGAGCTCTTCAACCTTTGTTTCGCTCAGCGCTAGTTTATTCCTAATATCTAGTACTATATTTTCTTGAGTTTTTGAACTGCCGTCAGGTGGATCATCGACTTAAATGTGTATGTAATTGTTATTGTGTGTTCGGCTTACCTTTTCAGTTACTGATTTCTGCTTCTTGGAGTGTTGTAGTCGCGTATTCATTTTAGTGTTCGTTCACTTTAACTCGAGAGGAATATATTTTGGTAGCGGTGTACTGGACTATAGATATTCCTTCTAACAATTTATATGGTATATTGTGGCACGTATGTGTTTACATATGAAAAAAAAACTTTTTATAATCAGATAAATACCTGCTTTTTTTTTGTATCATAGTTTCATGAATTTCCTCTTCCGAATTATTGCACAGATACTATTTTTTTGACACAGCTCACTTCAACACAACATGTCCATATTCTCCCAACACTGTGGTGTCGCATTAAATCCCAATCAGCTGCATTCAACTAAGACGTGGCAATCGATCGTTGCTATTGGTCCAATGAACGTTGTGAATCCACACTGCAAGGCTTTCAAGTTTAAAAATGAAGCCCCTTATGCAGAAGCAGATGTTCGAGTAGAACTAACCCCATTATATACTGACCTGGACATCATATATCTTGGGACCCGTTGGGTTTTGGGTCATGTGCCCATTAAGGCAATTGTTCAGGATGCCGAGAATCATGTCAGATGAAAAATTTTGCGAAATTGACCTAAACCACTCTTTCTCTTAAAGCAGATATTGGAGTAGGGCTTATACCCCATTATACTGAGTTGGATGGGCCTATATCTTGGGACGCGCACAGGTATTAAGTATCTTGAAAAGTGATATTAGGTCGTTTTCTTTTTCAAAAAGGACAACATATAAATAACCCATCGGGCACAGCTAATAGATATACTTTATTGGCAGCATATTCAATCATAGTTTCCTCACATAGCAAATATGACTGATTTAATATACATGCAGACCAATACACATAATATATACTTGCTTTCTGTATCCAACAATATGTGTAGTTGAGTCATTCCTCCATAGATCGACGCTCACAGTGATCACAGCGAGCAAACTTGGAATGAACTATTAAGTATAGGCATATATCTGGGTCGTTTGCACAATACACATGTTTACTCTAAAGAAAATCTGCATGCAGCTTCAGATAGACACTTTCAATGGAAATTTAAAATTAATCTTTGGATGGGGATTATTGGTAACTTTTTGGTCAATATAGGTGTCCTTTGGGAGCTGGCTACCTTCATTTTTTACAAAATGTTTTACCTGATATATTAGAAGAACTGCCTCCGAATGTAAGTCGAGACATGTTTCATTATTTTAGACAATGTTAACTATAATTTTTGTTCTATTGTCATGTATAGGAATGAAAATGGTGGACATATTGAACACCTTTTATGAACGATTCGCACTATTGCCTGTATTACATAAAACTATAATAAGTAATATCATACTTGTTCATTTTTGCTAACTACTATAAAGCATTAATAAGACACTTGGCAAACCCTTCACGCAATCCATTTTTTTTTCTCTAAAACTCTCTACTATTCTGTTTTTATAGGAGGCAAAAATAATAAAAATATTCAGGAATGATACCAAAACATTCTGCTATAATTTATGTGTGGGTGGGTGTAGTTTTCACCATTCTCGAACCCTTGAGACAAATATTAGAACATCTAACAAAACATGTGTTCCAAATTTCAATCATTGATTCCAAAAATACCTGAAAAATTGTGTTTAAAAAGAAAACTTTGACATCCTCTAACAGACAAACAAAACAATTTTGCATAGAGGTGAATCATGTCCACATGTCAAATCTTATGAGTCTAAAAATATGTGGTATTTCTATATCCATGGACTACTGTATAACTCTCATTGCAGGATTTTGTATTATTTGACAATAGTCTAAATGTGGCTGGAATTATGGTTTTGTAAACTGTTAACTTTCTTTGAAGTGAAAGGGAGCTGCTTATTCTTGAAAAAAAAGTACAGCTTTTTTATATTTTTTCATAGATCTATATATTCAAAATGTTTATCAAATGGTAAACAGCTTTTCAACTTTTATCCTTTTGTTCAAAATAGCGCTTGGGCCGCCACAACGCTTGTCTTAAATTACATAATATAAGTACTGTTGCATGCAGCGAAAGAACATACATCATTTCTCTGGGGCTCTCAAGTTTACCAGCACACTTCTCACCAGTAAAGCGCTTGCTTTTGTTGTTTTTAAATTTAAATTCAAAACAAAAGTACATGAATATGATTTGCGTCAAAAATTATACAGGATTTGATTTTTTTTTAATATCGGACGGTATACATTTTTCTTAACATACTCTATACCTACATATTCATTTTAGATCAGTGAAAAGATAAAAGATTGATTGAGGAATCATATAATTGCACATTTCCAACAATTTACCAAACATTTTAACCTGGAAGACCCCATCAAAGGCGCCGGTTTAGAAGTCGGAATCCATACATTCAATATAAAAAGAAAAAAAATTATCGATAATTCAAGCTTTGCCAGGGTGCGGCTAAATCCAGAATTTTATAACTAATTTTCAAATACTAAACAGATACATAATTTAAAGATCCAACTTCTCCCACAAATTTTATCTCTTTTTATAACAAAGATGCTGATAAAATGAAATGAAATAAGTATAAGCAACAAAGAAAACTGCTTACCTACTTCACTCCCACAAAATGTCTTTCCTGAAAGATACGTTCATCGAATGTGCAGAAAAACGTACTATTCATAAATAATCTGCTATCCGGGAAACACCAACACTTGAAAATTGGTAATACAAATCAAAACCGTGTAAATCAAGGGAAATTGCATTGTATTTTCGGTAAAAATCAAGAAAAACAACTTATTCTATCTCACTTTAGAAAATGGCGGATAGATCCATTGCCGTCTTTGTTCACCTTGCGGTTCGCTTCGTCGCGAGAAAGATCGCGTACTGTACATGCGCACTGCTCGAAAAAATTCATCGAATAGAGTCAGTTACATAGAATGACATCGAATCATTCAATCAAGGGGAATGTCATAAAAAATGTATTTATAGATTATTTCCGTTGTATGGGATTGTATCATAGTTGCGTAACACGAAGCTACACATCTATTTTTAGAAAGTTAACAATATGATCTGCATTTCAAGATCAAGTTAAAACCAATTATTTATTCTCATTTTTATAGTGCAGTTAATGCAGTATTTTTTTTTCGAAATATGGTGTGATGTTATGTGAACATAGATATTTTTTCTAGTATAGGTATTCCAGTCCAGTTTCGTAATTAAAAAACCTGATTGAGTGTATAAAATGAACGAATATTTATTTAAAATGCTTCAGCAGAGTAAAAAACAATTAAAATTTATTTCTTAAAATCGACTGCAGCATTTTTAATACATTAGATTAGTGCATCATACAGTGCTGGTTGTTGTCTGTGAGGCGCCCAATTAAATATGCCCTTCGAAACGTTTTACTTCCCACTCCTACTGGCAAAAAAGTATATTTCGAAAAATTTCGAAAATCATATTTTTTTTGGATGTAATATGACATGTACATCTAGAAACAGCACGTCACTCATTTCCGTAGGCCCGTCTGTCTGTCGGTCTGTCCGTAAACCCTTGGTAAATATAGCTTGGAAAGTACTGCTCGGATGTGGATGAATTTTCACATAAGGTTACTACTATACCAAGGACGAAAATGCAATGTAGTTTCTTAAAATTGGGCTCAGTGGCGGCGAAGAAAAAACGTTAAGAACACAATTTTTTGATAGTATATCGATTGCTTAGTTCTAATACGACGTATCCCACAAAATGTCGAAATCGAGATTTTGATGGATTTCAAATGAAAAAGGGTATTGCTATCATGTGACAATTTGTCGTAACCAATCTGCTAATAAAAACAAGATTTTTGCCCATATTCTAATATGTCGTATCTAAAGCAGCTGTTATTATCGGTTTCAATAAGCTGTATCCCTCAGCATCCACTTGCTCACTGAACCTGATTTGTGTTGGTTGATAGACAGTGCTCTCTTTATTTGACCAAATAATGCTATCTATGTTTTTTTACAATAAAGCGTTACGCCAGAGTAAGTAACTAAGAAATCTTATCAGAAATGTATACTTCGATTCGAAAGCGTCATTTGTTTATTGCTAGGAAGTTTGATTAAAAAGTAAAGATTGGTTACAGCCTATTGGATCTTGTAACTGTTCTGCTGGTATATGATGAATTAGAATTAATGTACAATAATTCCAATGCTAATGGGTCTTCTAGATGTTTATTTCTGATGTTCTTTAACACTTAAGTAAGTCGGATTTTTGTCACCCAAGGCTTCACTCTGTCTTCCACTGGCACATAGGCTGCGTTTATTACACTGAGCTGCTGGACTTTAGCGCTATCTTGAATATGCTTCAGCTGGTTGTATTCATTGTCAGTGATTATCAGTTTATTGAAATGATATTCTAAAACATACTCGAGGGTTGTGTTTGGGCCGCAGGATCGAACGTTACCGAACTATTCCAAAGAGTTCGCTGGCTTTCGCTTTAATGATAAAAACGTCTGTGAGTTAGCTCCGAGGGTGCGGTTCGGTTCTGCGCCATGAGAACATTCAGATAGATTCATTTCTCGCATTCTATAAAGTGACATCTAGAAAATGAGCTACAGGATTACTCTACATAAACGGAGCGAGTATGAAGGAGAGTCTGCTTTGAATATTCTAGCCAAACCGATACACAGCATATTGTCCAATGCCTTGTCCCTATTTTCCACATGGTATAAAATATAGTGATTAAGCAGAAGTATCTGGAGAAGGGCCACATTCAAATGGAGTGTGACTCGACTCACTGACTCATTGAAAGGCGCTTTAGAGGGAAAGACATACATTTGCCTATCGATTACATAAACCTAGTTAGAGATGCGATCATTCCAGTACCCACACCATTCGTATTTTCTGTATTTTAAAGTACAACTGTAAAAGGTACAATTCCATACGTCCAGAAAATAAGAAAAGATGAACGATCTGAGATGCCTAAGAAATGATAGCACTGGCCAAATCTACTACAAATCGGAAATCAACGATCCTTATGAAGTCTTATCTCATCGCCAAAAGCAAATTTATATAGCCTATAAGCCCAAACATCTACGAGACAAGGCTTAAGATAACAAAAAAGAAATGGGATCATTTGCAAAGATTCGAAAAAGTAATGTCTGAAGATGTAGACTTTCACGATGCACTCCAATACGAAGGAAGTACGGAAGAGATAGAATAAACTAGTAAGTCAAACAATGTCGAAGAAGAACCAGAAAAGTCGTCGGTGGACAATGATAAACTAAAAATTGAAGGTATAGTAGCTAAGAGACAGGAAAAAGTTGTTACTTGGCTCACTAACAAAATAAAATTTTAAAGTGTTCTAACATTTCTACAAACTCGAAGAAAGTAGATATAGTGAGTGTATCCATAATTGATAAAAAGTATGGAAAACCTAATTTGGAAAATGGCAGTAGTGAGAAAAACGTAAAAGATAGTAAAAGGTATTACATTTGTTCTTGTATAATTAATTTTTATAAAATCCATTTATTTCAGAAAAACAAAGAAGTGCAATAATGATACGGATAAGTTCAAAAACAAGAAACAAAATTGACTCATCCAGGATTCTCCTACTCTGTTGCTTGTTACCGAATTTGTATCTACTGTAAGAAGTAGCCAGTCTGGATTTGTTTCTATTTTTTATTTCAAGATAACAATTGAAGTTGTAGGGAAGTAATAAACGATTATACAACTTTAAATTGCTGTTTTAAACAAAATTATATTCACACAATATGCTGTATCCCAATTAGTTTTATAATTTTTATATAGAATAAAAAAGACATAACCCACTGTAGATGACAAACAGGTCGTATCAAACATAATGATCAAATGTTAATACTTCTTAAGCCACAGACAAGGCTGGAGTGGTCTCTACCTGCTAGACATACACATCATAGATTTTCCCGTACATTTGCCCTCAAAACAGATATCGATAGAGAAATGGTTTCGACACTCGTCTGCCAAAGGGCCTGCTGGTCTTCATAAGTGACATGGCATGACTGGCGCGACTGCGTCTGTGTCGCGCTGAGCGTCTGAGGCGTCGTGCGCTACCTGAGAGAGGCGACGTTGCCAGATGACAATACTACGGTTAGGGCAGGGAAAAATGTCTATGACAGACTAATTGTATGGACCTGTTTGACGGACTTGATCCGTTTAATTTCTTTGCTACAACTTTCATCTCATCTAATTTAAGCATGCTGCTTTCGTTCGTTTGGTGAAATATGGTCATGGACACGTTTCGTGTTTTTTTTTGCAACTCATCAGCATATGGTCTAGGCTTTGTCTCCGAAACAAAACTATAACGAAAGCTCAGCAACTATCCTCTACTTAGGATATAAGGTCTATGGCGGTGTCTCATTCCGATAAGGTCTAACTTATGCTGAACATAATCCTTTATGAAACAGAAGACAGCGTTGCGTGGGAAGTGCCGAGTCATAATACTTGATGCCATTTTTTATTAACCTCAAGATAGTTGAAAACCAGTCAAAATTGAACATTGAATAATGGTATTTGTTTTGTTTAACATTGTTTTCACTAATGCATTTTGGTCCGTTCCTCTCGATTCGCCGTGTATACATATTATATGAAAGATATTGACAATCAAAATTTTCTCCAGTCCGCCTCTGAATTCGATGTCGACGTAATTGTCTGGTGGTTTTCGTTTTCCACCAACCAACACCAACATCGAATCAAGTGACAGTGAAGGTTGTGCGTGTGTGTCGGGTTGCGATGTCGGACATAGGAAGCGGTGATGAAGGTTCAAGTTCGCAAAGTAAGTGATAATGTGATGCAAATCGTGCATATTTGATTGTGGTACAAGTCTGAATATTTTCAACATTAAAAACTGTACAAACAACAAGGGCTATTGAATAAATTCTCCCATTTATGATTGACATCTGATCCAAAATGGCGTATTTCAATTGTTCTGGTCGGAAACTTTGCTAGTTTTCGATCAAATTTCCGCCTCCAGTGCTTTGATACAACATTTTTAATGCTGAAAATTGTGAAACATTAGCAACAATTTCCAAAGAGTCTGAGAGAAACCCCTGAAAGTGTGTCAAAATTGGTGCAAGACCTGCATAAGTTGAATATTGTCATAGTCTAATTGTGACCTTGGACAACGTCAGTTTGGTTGCCTTCTACCTTAACGCTTTGTCAGAGCAAGGGAATCTGACCCTTCGATAGATTTTCAATGTTTTTGATCAATTTTTGCTAAAAATGTGTTGGGTGATGTCCGCTGTTAAAAAAGAAATTTACACTTTACAAATCGTGCTTACAAAAATAATTAACAAGTTCTAATTGGAATTTTTTAGAGTTTCACCAGGGAATGGAGCAGGGAAGTGAGTATGATTCAGGTAATTTTTTGACCATTGAACAAAGAAGACGATTTTTTCCATTTGATTATCATTGCCATCATATACATTATCCAACACCACATTCCACCTAAAGAATTTCACCAATAGTATTTCATGAATGAACTGCCTATCTGATGACTCATGTAATTCTTGGAAATTTATAGTACCTTCTTTACTATAGACTCGCATCAATGAATCATATTTAGTTCACCAGAATCTGTTGCCAATGTAACTGCTTATTGCACCAAAAATGGCTTTGAATGAATGGAATTTTGATAAGATACAATATTGGCATGACCCTAGTGAGTAAACACAAACATGTTGTCAATCTTAGGCTTCTATAATCTTATATTTTATTTTTCTTACAGGCCAGCAGGGGCAAGTGGAGCAAGAGCTGGCCACAAAAATGCTGCAGATACAGAGCAAGAGGTTCTACTTAGATGTGAAGCAGAATCGAAGGGGACGTTTCATCAAAGTAGCTGAGGTATATTTTTATTTCCATCAACTCGTATATAGAATATTTCAAAATATGGTGCTAAATAGATGCCACAAAGTACAGACAGATGTTCAAGAATCATACCTTTGTATGTTATTTATTAGGGATGTAACAGGTAGTAATTTCCAGGAACCGGCCAAACCAGGATCTGGCTTCATGCCGGGTACCTGGTTTAACCTGTTTTCTGCTTGCATGCTCTCAGATTTCCCACTCAAAACATTCAAATTGAAAACGATTTTTTTTACATTTTGGGAAACTGTTGGCCAAAGATTAGAATATGTAATCTTTTTTTGTTAAAGCATTGGCAACTCTGCCGTAGAACAAATGCATGGAGCAACATGGATGTTTTGGGGGAAGACCCGACGTTGTCGCGTGAATCCCCGCACCGAGAACAGGTGTATTGTTCTGTGGGTGTATTATTGACTATTACTTTTTCACTCTAGTTACTTACTATCGAGCCTACTATTATATGGTTTAAGATAAAAGTTAAAAGTGTTACTAGAGAGTTATCGAGTGAGATTAGCCAATTTAAAAATGAGCAAAGTGTGGGAACATTTTATAATTGATAATGAAGATGAATCAAAAGCAGTGAGTGGATTATGTGGCACAAAAATTCTTCGCGGTCTTTGAAAAAAAGCGAGTACATCATCTTTGTGGAAACACTTAAAATATAAGCATCCACTTACATTAAAGGATCAAAGTAAAATCAAAAATAAGCAATGTTCAGGTTCAGAATCTTCAGGAGAATTGAGATAAATTAAAATTACTGAGAGCTTTGAAAGACAATGGAACATAAACGATTCAGGGGCAAAAAGAATACGCCAGGCTATAGGATAAATGATCGTTCTTGATAACCAACCTTTTTCTGTTGTAAAATGAAAGTAGCTGCATATTATTATTAATATTATTAATTATTTTTATATGATATTTGCACTTAAATTTTAAGTAACGCAAAAAGGTTTCTCGTTAACAATTTTTTTTTGCAATATGGTTAGTTTTCCATGTCATTTTATTTTAAACATATATAGCTCCACAATGAGTTGCTGTACTTTTTAAGTTGCCATATAATTTATCACGAATAAATTTTTAGGATTCAAGAGATTGTTTGCTGTCCTGGAACGAAAGTATAGTATACCCATATTTCAGTAAAACTGTCATTCCTGAGATATATGAAAAGTGTCAAAGTAGAGTAGCTGAAATGTTACCAGATGCAAGATTCATTTCTTTCACAACAGACATGTGGACTTCTGATGTGATCAATTAAGAGCTTTATAAGTTTAACTGGACATAGGATTTCCAGAAATTTTGAACAAAAACATTATGTGCTAAGTATTCATGGTCTGGATGGCAGTCATACTGGTGAAAATATAAAAAATGCTTTACTAGAATTATTAAGAAATAATAACATAGAAGTGGGCAGAGTTCACTTGGTTCTTCGAGATAGGGGTGCTAATATTAAGAAGGCTACAAAAGATATGGGAATCCTGTTTTATACATACTCAGCAGCTTGTAGTAGTTACCTCTCTTAAAGAGTAAACATCCCTTATGGAAATTGTATCTATTGCAAGAAAAATAGTGACTCATATAAACCATTCCTCTCCATCTCGAACAAAATTAGAAGAAATTCAGAAAGACGTCAACCTACCTATCAAAAAAATGGTTCAAGATGTTCAAACATGGAATTCTACGTATTATCTATTAGAAAGACTTATCGAGCAGCGAAGGGCCATTAACTTGCTTGCCACAGAAGTTGATGCGGTTCCATCTTTGACACCAAGTCAGTGGAATTCGTTGGAAAAGCTTTTACGACTTTGACAACCATTTGTGCAAACTACCAAACATTTTAGCAGAGAATTATGTATAATATCAGAAGTTATTCCTACAGTGTTGTCATTAAGAAGGTTTTTAATGGAACTTAACATTTCTGGACTAGAAAATTTACAGCAAAGTTTGCTAGAAAATTTGACTAAACGTTTTTGTGAAATTGAGAATAACAATAATTTTTTAATAGCTACTTTTTTGGATCCCCGGTTCAAGGATGCATTTTTCACTGATAAACATAAAACAACAGTTGATATTTTAAATATATTCAGAGTCTAACTGTGGATATGACACCTATTGACAACAATAAAGCTTGCGTTACGTCAATAGATTTAAGTTCTGATGAATCTGACGATGATGTTCCGCTTAGCACTTTATTTAAGATACCCGGAAAACGCAAGAAACCTAATGAGTCTGTTTAGGATATATTTTCGGATATTGCACATAGCCGCGACAGTATTGCAGGAACTTCCAAAAATTTAGAAACTGTGGAAACTCAATTCAATTCTTATTTGAAATTGCCACTTATTGCTCGTACTTCATGCCCTCTTTCATGGTGGCAAATCAATCATAAGAGCTTTCCCAAATTAGCAGATCTTGTTCAGATGTTTCTATCAGCTCCGGCTTCAACAATATTCAGTGAGAGGCTGGAATGATTTTCGAAGAAAAACGAAGTAGGCTAACTGCAGAAAATGGCGAAATGCTAAGCTACCTCCATCATAATCTTCCTTTACTTAATTTTAAATGACTTTATTAAATAATGTAGTTTTTATTTAATACCTATATTGATTTAATATATTATGTATTAAGTTGTTTTTTTACAGGCTCTTTGGCCTCTATATTTTCAATAATTTTTTTTTCATTTATTCAGTCTACCCGGCCGGTTAGAATGATTACCCGGCAAAACCGGGTACCTCGTCAAATTAGCCGGGTACCCGTTACATCCCTATTATTTATATTGCTGGAAGTATTCCTTTTTATATTAAACTTATGTTTAGACTAATGTTGACATGCAAGCTAGTAATACAATTTGTGTTTATATCCTATATCTAAGGTGGATGCTATATAGTATCAGTACTTATGTTCTGGATAGAGGATAGTTGCTCAGCTGTCCATGGTGACTATCTTGGTCAGGCAAACAAAAGCTATATTATTAATCGACATATCATAAAACATGATATTGAAAACATAGTATACCATATCATTTGGTGTTGATCACAATAAAAACTAAACATGTAGCTTCCACCCAATGTCTGCATTATATTCTAATCGTACATTTTTTTGATTGTCTTATCCAAGAATTTGTCTAATTAATACTTTGACATTTGTTTTAATGTTTAATTAGATTGGGGCTGATGGCAGACGATCTCAGATATTCCTTGCTCTGTCAACTGCAGCTGAATTTCGTGACCATCTATCTACTTTTAGTGACTTCTATTCTTCACTCGGTAAGTGCTCCAACAATTATATAATTTAACTACTAACAAAATGGTACATTTAATGGATATAAAAATACAAATGCCTTAGTGTACAAAAATAATAGTTTAACTGTTCCAAAAATATATAGGCAATATCATTTATTAACATATTCTTCCTGAAGATAAACACCTGAAAATTGCCAACTTAATGTAATAATCCTATGTCCACAAAATTATCTGAAATAAAATCATTTACTGTAGTGTATCAGAATTTGTCACACCTTCTCTATTTACTACATATGGTTTGAAATGATTATTGTCTCATAGATGGCACTGTCTGTATGTGCATCTTTAGAGATAGAAGAAGTCTTGAACCATTCCAGACATTTGTTATCAATTAATGCAAGACTATACTTAGGTAATCTAAAGCTGTGTGTGTAAATATTATTGACTATAATCTCCCATATTGCACCACATGTGGTTTCATTGGTCAGACATACATCGAGATTATAGACTTGTAAACCACCGGATCAGTTTTAGATGTTATATTATTGACTTACTACACCAGCATACTTTTTTAAGTGAGTATCTATTTCTATCACATTAGCAAAACAATTGCCTATCCCAAACTTTTGTGGAACTAGAGGATGCATACGGATGTTAAGAAAGTAGTGCAGGTAGATATTTTGGTGTGGGAAGAAAATATTCATGATTTATCACCTCTTCCTTTCAGAGATTGTTAAGTTCAGTACATTATTGATTATTGATTACCTAGAAATCAAAGCCTTCTGACCATATTAAGCAAGCATTAACCAGGAGCCATATGTTTGAAATTGGTGGTAAAAGTTGTATATGAAAAGATCATCATGGATAACCAGTTGTTACAGTGTGTTGAGACCTCAGACCCTTTGGACACTTTAGATGTATGACTTTACTTCATTGATATATACATATATATTTTGACGGGTAGTTCTGTAGTGGAATCTTATATTAGTGCTTCTAATTAGCTTGAAGTATTTGCAGATGTATTTCAGGACATTGAAATTTGGATTTTTGGATGTTTGGATCTTATTAAGCGCCTTATATCCCTCAGCCAGTACCTAGGTGCTATAGGAACCGGAAACCATAGCAGTTCATGTAAAGATTTACTTAGACTTATAGTGCAAACTGCATTGGCCTTTAATCAAAATAGGCAGCACCTAACTCTATGAATATGCCAAGTGACAAGCTTTTTTTAAACTATATATTAAGTATAACTAGAATATCAATTCATAACAAATTATAATCAGTTAGTAAGGATATTTATTTTGGAACCAGATGAACTAAGCATGCTTCAATAATAGTTACCTGGATAGAAATATTTCTTTTATACCTTTTATCCATATAATGTACAGAGCTGCAGATTTCCCAGTATGTAGTACCAATAAAGTGATTATCAGGAGCCTCAAAAATAAGTTTAACTTTTAAATATGCCAAGTGACAAGCTTTTTTTAAACTATATATTAAGTATAACTAGAATATCAATTCATAACAAATTATAATCAGTTAGTAAGGATATTTATTTTGGAACCAGATGAACTAAGCATGCTTCAATAATAGTTACCTGGATAGAAATATTTCTTTTATACTTTTTATCCATATAATGTACAGAGCTGCAGATTTCCCAGTATGTAGTACCAATAAAGTGATTATCAGGAGCCTCAAAAATAAGTTTAACTTTTAAATATGGGATATTATCAACATTTCCATGAGAGTATAATGTGCAAAGCGACATTATTTGTCTAGAAAAATACTTCAAATGCATTATTGATGAGAGAGGTACTAGTGCACTGGTACAGATCCATAATCAGGTCATGATAAAAATACCAACTGAGATTTATGAGCTCCTTCACGTACGAAAACCCTGAAGTAACTATTCTGACAGTTCAAGTGAGATAGAAGTAAGATAAATGACGTCAACCATTACCTCTCGCGTGACAGTGCCACCACACTGACACTTCGACTTTTATAATATATTTGCTATAATCATTGATAATTGAGGATTTTAGAACATTACAACCAAATACATTGATAATGTCAGATAGGTGGGTTTAAGCACATTGAAGCTTGAGGGGGATCCAGCCTTTGAGTGGTGGGGTCATTTAGGGATAGTTTAATTTTAATTTTTCTTCATGTAGACGAGTTTCTGATCTCTGATGCAGAATTTATTAGGGAATAGATACATTAAATACATTTTTAGGGTCTCTTTTGGATGGACACCAAAGTGTCTGTTCAAGAAGGGTGTCCGTATAAAATAAGTACTAAATCGCCTTTTTAATGAAAATTGAATAAACATATTAAAGAAACTAGGATATTTAAAACTTATGTATATATAAATGAATTTAAAAACTTTAAACAAAAGAAAAAAAGGTTTGTTACCTTTAGATATATACCAAAGTATGTACATACATAGGTATAATATAATATGTATGTACATACATATTATTACACAAAGCAATGAAATAAAAAGTCACTTCAAGGACGCAAAAACTCATATTGTCGTTTTTCTCATCTTTTTCTTTAAAATAGCGTCTTGAAATCGTATTTCAAATTTAGAAAAACGCTCCAAAGACTCTGTATCTACCTGATTTTCGACAAAACGTTTGAGCTGCTTTTTCAGGGTAATAGCTTTACCATAACTTAGAATAGCTTCTGCTGGTACTGGAACCGCATCGACATCAGAATCCTCAGAAATTTTCTGTATTGCAACTGCATTTTCAATTTCTTGGCTTGAATATGGATCTTCTACAAACTTTCATCTAGCTTCAAAAAATATAAAGGTTTTCATTATAAGTCAATTTGAATGAATCCTTATTTTAGAGGATATCTGAAAGTACATTAAGTGGTAAGTCATCTTCTAGGTCATGTGTGTCAGCCTCATTTAACTGGTCTTCACTTTGCATATTTTCATGCCTAAATCCTGCTTTGCAGAAGCAATTTTACATTGTTTCTTTGGTTACTTGGCCACAAGCGGTTTCTGTCAAATAAACTGCATCCAACAACATAATTTTCTTTATTAACTCAAAAGCTGTACTAGCAGTTTCAATGTTTACTACAGGTGTTTGAGTATGAGACTTCAGTAATAAGTTTTGAAACTCTTTGGTCATGTGGTTCACATGATGTTATACAATTAGGGGGCAAAAGATTTTTATATTATTTAAATGAATGTCTTTTGATGCGGGAAGCATTGTCTAAAAATAACAAAATGTTTCTTTTTCCTTTAGCCATTTTCCAATCTAGATCTTGCAACCACTCTGTTATAATTGGTCTTGTCATCCAAGCTTTCTTATTGTCTTTCCAAGTTACAGGCAGGTCATACCAGTCACTAGGATATTTTCTTTTTCACCCGTCATATTTACACAGTGCAAAATTGTAAAGCTCTCTTTGGGATACTTACCCCCAACACATTTTTTGTCCTTTAATGTGAGCGTTTTGTCTGGTAGAGCCCTAAAATACAGGTATGTCTCATCGGCATTATAGGTATCTCTCGGGGAATATCCCTTAATCAAAGGACATTTTTCCAAAAACAATAAATGATTTTCTCGTGTCCGAGTCACTTCAAGAGAATGTCCGTCCAAGAGAGAGATAATACAATGCCAATTATATGACAGTCGGTCGGGACCATGATGAACTGTCCGTTTAAAGGAGGTATCCGTGTCCGCGAAAGGGAATTTCACTGTATTTCCTTGTCTTTTCCTGAAGTATCAATAGTGTTAGTGGTTGATATAACTTTTGCTTTGAAAATGCAGATAATATAAAGGAGGAGGTGAAAATTTTCCATATTATCTCAAATGGTTGGAATAGAATATTTAACTTTTTTGACATGCATCTGTACTTGAATGCCAGACTTAATTTGGAATTAGACCTTGAAATGACATTGAAATCACCTTAAGATGTCCTTATAGTGACTAATTGACCTCTCATTCGGACTTCAGAAAAACCTGAATGACATGCGGTTGGATTCATCAGCTCGGCAACATCGCTTCAGCGAGTTCGTGATCGAATTTATCTGTTGTTGGAACATATCGGCGATCGACCTAGCATTTCGCACCATTTTACTATATTAATGACGTCGATGTTGTGTTCCCTCGCCTTTCCTGATTTAAAATCAATGAAATAACTTGCAAAATTCCTTATTAATATTATAAAACGCTTTATTACTGAACGCCAGTATTATGTAACATTTATTTATTTGTTCATATATGTATACTATTTCTACTTAGCTGTATAAAATGTATCTTTTATAGTTTTCAGAATACTTCTCAAGTAACGTACAAATAACTTGATTCTTGATATTCATTTATTGGAATAAAATAAATATTCAGTAAGGGATGACAGTATTAGGCGATACATACTTTTGACAGCATTGTGGCTATAATACAGCAACACATACAAAACCATGATTCGGTCAGTTTTTTTAAACTCCTAAAAAAAATTGAATTTGTTCATTTTAGCCTATAAGATTGTTAGATGCTAAGGTATGTGTCACAACTAGCATTTTAATATTAAATCTCAAGTTCTATAGTTCTCATTTATTTGTTAGAGGTATTAATTATTTGTACAAATACACATGAAAGTATGAAAATTGAAGAGCTCTTGTGAAGTCAGCATTTTTGTCTTTGTCCTCCCCTTAAGCTTTGAATTGTGAAAATTGACTGGCATAGGTGGGTACGCATATCTTAGACATTAATCAATTACTGCTTAAATCACATTGGGTAGTTTTGAGGTTGTTTTTTCCTTTACCCAAATGTGAACAAAATATGCAAAGCATGGTACCCTTTCTGAGATATTGGACCTTGAAGTTGGACAAAAGCTGAGGTTTGAGAAAAATATTTATATAATCACTTTTTGCCAGATGGTAGATATTATTTGTGATTCATATAAGTCTAAATATTTACTACAAATGGTCTGAGCTTGTACGCACACACAAAAAGTGCAGCAGTTTGATTAGATTTAGTATTTTTGGTTATCAATATTTTAAATTAAATGCAAATGTCACATTTTTTTTTATACCATTAAATATTGTATGAATATCATTTGGTGCTAATAGTTTCATAATATGTGGTTGCTCACAATCTGCCAATACTAGTTAATCTTAGATCTTTATGGTACAAATTATTGTAAAATGCGGTTAGAGGATGCTAAATGAAAACAGGTGTTAGATGAAGAATGGTTTAGTTTTTACAACTCATGGAACTCATGAAAGCAATTGCAAATTAGTATTAATACATGTTGACCTTGCTGCACATTGCAGTACCTGTTTCCTAGCAAATACTATTTTATGTTAATTTTTAAGCTCCAATATCTGGTGAGAAAGACATACCAACTCCCATTGAAAATCACCTATTATCTTTTTGCACAAAAAATTCAAGGTTCAAAGGAGCTGCTTTCACCTGACATTTTATTAATTTAGCCCTAATCCCAAATCCCATTCCTAGACCTCTCCTAACACATTCACTCTTCCAATAATAGATGGCGATACGGTCTCAGGTCCTCCTAATCCGGACAACGTGCCCGAGGATGGCAAGCTGAAGAGCGAGATGATGATCAAGGACAACCGGCGTTACTACCTGGACCTGAAGGAGAACTCGCGGGGCAGGTTCCTGCGAGTCTCCCAAACGATAACTAGGGGCGGCCCTAGGAGCCAAGTGGCCATCCCAGCACAGGGCATGATCGAGTTTCGGGACGCGCTCACCGATCTGCTGGACGAGTTCAGCGCCGACGAGCACGCGTACAAGCCGGACCTGCCGGAAGGCAGGCATATGCACGTCGACAACAAGAATTTCTATTTCGATATTGGTAAGTGCAATGGAGGTTTATTTTCATAGATTAAGGGTTTCCAAATCTCAAAAGTCAGTCGGGTGTGTGTTGTTCTATGTAGTGCAGCTCTTCTTGGCCAAGTATTTTTGTGTTGAGATCCTTTGATATCATTGATAGCTATCATTCTCGGTGCATCTTCATAGGAGCAAGGTCAGGTGAGGCGATTAGAGGCGATTAGCCTTTAGCCTTACTACAGGGTGCGTCAGCTATTAATTTTTTTCTATTTGAAAAATCAACACGCTTTTTACGAGGTGAAATCGAATTTTTTTATTGATAAATGAAGGTTGGTTTATGCCATTTATGTATGAAAAATAAAATTAGTCATGTGACCACCGCGGCTTCGTTTACAGGCCAACATCCGAACATCAAAATTTTCAATGACTTTTCCCAGAATAATCGGGTCTATGGCCGCAATTTCAGTCCGAATATTGCGCTTTAGGTCTTGAATTGTCCGGGGACCATTCGCATACACTTTTCGTTTCGGTAATGGCCTTTTCTTCGGCATCTTCAAAGAAGAATGGTCCAACGATGCCACCAGCCCATAATCCTCACCAAACAGGTACATTTTCAGGATGGAGAGGTTGTTCATGATATTGGTGTGGATTTTCAGCCCAGGTGAAAATGAGCCTCATCAGAAAAGAACACTTTGGCCGAAAATCCGTCTTCTCTTTCCAGCATCCAATTAACAAAAACACGCCGCTGTTCATGGTCTGCTGGCTTCAATTCTTGTGTTAGTTGTATTTTGTATGGATGGAGGTGTAAATCAAAGTGTAAAATCCGACGTAAAGTGGTCTCACTAATTCCCAATTGTTGCGAACGGTGCCTAGTCGAGGTGGTTGGATCTTCTCGCACATTTTCACTCACTGCGGCTATGTTTTCACGAGTACGAGCTGGACGAGCATGTTGGTATGGTCTACGACCTTCAGCTGAACCAGTTTCCTCAAAACGATTAACAAACCAACGAATTTCAGGCTCTGTAGGGCGTCCATGTCGGCCAAAACTAGTGCGAAGTTTGCGAAAAGTATTTTTTATATTTCGACCCTTTTCGTAATAACTTTGGATAACCAAAATGCGTGGTGATCACGTACTCGCATACCCCTTATTACCCAAGCAGGGCTGTTAAGTTAATAATACGTATATTCGGCTAGAAAAGTTTTTATAGGATCATAAGGTCTAATATAAGAGTCTCTGTTTTCAAAACGCAGTAAAGTCATCCGTGCTTAATATTCTGTTTATTGGCCCTGTAATGGCAGAAATGCAATATCTAGATTCAGTGTGAAACATCTGAAATTGGAGGACAAATCTTTCAAGAACCATAATTAATACTATTTTTGTGAACTCTAATCTTTCCAAAATTTTGGTTACAGCTACAAAATGCTTAATTACGCGAATACTTTGTCCCTACCTGTGTTGCTAGTTGTCATGTTGATCAACTTTTCCATCTCAAATATTTATATTTATTTCTGCTTGTAGTACGTCTCAAAGGTAAAAACGCGACTTGACTTATGATTCTTTTTGTCCATGTTGGGAATTGGGAATTGCAGTTATGCTCAGCCTTTTTAGCTTTTTAGTGTATATTCACCATTTGTTATTCAAAGACGTTACTAAATCCTAGTAGTATTTTTACTTTTCTTCCAGTGGGAGTCTGCACATATAGGGAAAATATTATTTTCACTCCAGCCAGCATCATTGTTATATTGGCGGACCTGGCTGTAGTTTAAGAAAATATGTTTGTATTTAGTACAACATACGGAAATGTTCAAGTTTGACCGCCACTTTCAAAGACAGCCAGCCATATATAAGTCTAGTCTACTAAAAATACTAGTTAAAGAACTCACCTTTATCACGAGAATTTTCAAAGAACTAGATCATTTTAATTAATATCGCTGGACGGCAAACGTATATAAGACAGTGACACATCCCTGGAAATATTGGTGAGACGAACAGCACAATCTACACCATTTTCAAGCATTTTAAATTTACTACCAAAGGAAACTGTCAAGCTGTGTCAACTTCAGGACCAATAAAGGTAATATTTCAACTGTGGCTTCACGCTATACTGAGTGTTGCTGCTGCTGAGTTGATATATATACATGATGCCGAAGAAAAAAGTTAAAAACCAGATCTCAACGGAAAAATCAGATACAATGGATGTTTACATTGATGGAAACTTGGACACTCAGAAGATTCTAGAAGAAAATAAACACTTAAAACAGATATTAGAAGAAAAGGATAAACTAATACTACAGTTGAGCAATGAAAATGGAAGACTACAAGAACAGTACAATTTAGCGACATCAGCCATACACGAAAAAGGTACCGTTGAAACAATGATAAATAAAATAAATCAAAGATTGACTGAAATTGAGAAAATTAAAGAGAAATCATATGCCCAAGTACTAAAGCGAGATACTCCAACAATCAAGAAAGACCCAATGAAGAACATAATTGTCACACCAAATGGTATCCAAACATCTGAACAAACGAGAAAAGACCTTAACAAAAAAATTAGCCTTACGGATTTGAAAATACAAATAGAAAATATACGAAATTCTAAAAATGGAGGAATTATAATTAAACTGGCTGAGGAACACCACAACACACTCAAAACTGAATTCGAAAAGAAATTAGGAGATGAATACAAAATCACAGAACCTACAATGTTTAGACCGAAGATCAAAATTGTCAATTATAGATGCACGGAGAAACCACATGAAGAAGACATAGAATTAGATCTTATCCAACAAAATCATTTTATTGAAAAAGATGACATCAAAATCAAATATGTAAAGTATCTCCCATCGAAAAAATGTTACACATTATTTGCAGACATTTCTGGCAAATTATTCAAGACAATATTTGAAGATAACAATGGAAAAATTCTTCTTGGATGACAATGTTTACCAGTGTATGATAATAACGAAATAACGCAATGCAAGAAGTGTCTTCGCTTCAATCACACCGAGAAAAAATGCCGCAATAACAAGACCTGTACCAACTGCAGCAAAGAAGATGTACACGATACTGACTGTTGTAAGCATGAACCGGTTGTATGTTGTAATTGCAAATTTTCAAACTATAGATATAACAAAAATTATAGTACCAACCACTCACCATTAGATAAAAAATGTCCAACTTTTCTATATTATCAACAGCAGTACAACTTGAAAATCCTTTTTTAAGAAAGAAGAAATTTTAGAAAAAATTTTAGAATATTGCATCATTCATGACACACGACTATGTAAATAACTTCCAAATTCAACGTATTAGTACTAATACTGCTCATGATACTAGCGAGCTAGATTCTTTTTTACAAAATCCCGAAATATCTGTTAGAATTTATCATATGAACATCAGAAGTATAAAACATAACTTTGACTACTTTAAATTAATTTTGAAAAGAATACAAAGTGATATAGATATAATCATTCTATCCGAAACATGGCAAGTGGGCGATGTGACTCTGTTTCATTTAGAAGGGTACGATACATTGTATAATTTTGGTAACCATAATCAAAACGATGGAGTGATGGTGTATGTACGAAACAATCTGCCTTATAAACATACCATATTTACAATCAACAATGAACTAAAAGGTATCAATCTAACAATGCAAATTGAAAATCGTAGAGTCAAAATTACTTGTGTTTACCGACCACCATCTTCAGATCCTCATACATTTATAAGAGACATAGATGAACTATTAAAAAACAATGAAAACAATCACCTTCATAATCAAATATTTATAGGCGACATCAATATAAACATTTTAGAGGAAAATTCTATGGTGAAAGAATATTTAAACATTTTATCAAGTAATGGCTTTTTATCATACATAAATAAAGTAACACGACCCACCAGTAAAACCTGCATTGATCACTGCTTTATAAAGGATATTTCCAATATTTTTTCTTACATACCTATTATCTATGAAACCGATATTACAGATCATTATTCCACTGTATTATTGATATCTTCACAAAATAAAAACCAGAACTGCCCAAGGGCAAAAAATGAAAGGAACCTTGAATACAAATATTTCACTGACAACTCAAAATTAATATTTAACGCACAAACGGAATCGTGGGACGAAATTTTTTTAACAAATTCTTTAGACGAAGCTACAAATTTATTAATACACAAAATTCAAAAAGTAATTGCAGTTAGTACTAATAAGGTTAAAATAAGTCACAAGGAAAAAAGCAGAAATGATTGGATGACCAAAGGACTAATAAAATCTGCAAACGAAAAAGAAAAACTGTATAAAATCATGAAATATTTACCCACGAAAGAAAATATAGATCATTATAATCAGTATAAAAACAAATTTATAGAACTTTTGAGAAAAGCAAAAAAAAATTACTATATAAAACAATTGAATAATAATTCACATGACTCTAGACACCTATGGTCCACTGTCAATGATATATTCAATAAGTCATCCTATTCAAAAAACAATATTAATGAAATAAAAACAAAAACAGGACAGAAAACAGACAATATTCAGCAAATATGTGATGAGTTCATAGAATTTTTCACGAATATAGGAGGAAACTTAGCAAATAATATCAAACAAAATGCTGATATTCATCTGCATGAAACAAGACTGAATAATTCATTTGTATTAACTGAAGTAGACTATCAGGATGTTTTCAATGCCATTATGACTCTAAAAAATAAAAAAAGCCCTGGAGTTGACGAAATTAGAGCTGAACATCTAAAGATACTGGCCAAACAAATAACAGAACCACTTGCTTATATCATTAACAAATCCTTCCAATCTGGAGTATTTCCATCAGCTTTCAAGACAGCAATCATCATACCTATCTATAAATCTAATGATAATACGGACGTCACTAACTATCGACCTATTTCACTTATATCAAGTTTAGCTAAAGTTTTTGAGAAATTACTCCTTAATAAAATGATTAATTTTCTTAATAAATTCAAAATTCTAAATTCAAATCAATATGGTTTTA